TGTGATTCTATTTAAAATCAATAACATTCTTATAATAACATCTCACATTGATAGATTTGGCATAAGTAATTTACATACCTTTTAAACTCAAACAAATTTCCTGTCATGTATCCTCAAGAAGATTACTCGGTATCTTAAACCGCCCACGTCAATTACCGCCACGAAAATCTTGGCTCGTGATCTCTCTCCTGGGCTCCATTTTTCGTCACGTGTCAATGGTGCGCACGCTCCTTTCGCATTAACGCGCATGTCAGTTCAATGGAGATTAATTGCTTACCCACAACCGGCTGCAATTACAACTGATCGCGATTCGTACATTTTTACACGAATCGGCACGATGGAGCGCACGTGGAAACGGGCTTTAAAGGAACTCGATATGGTTGGATGCTCGTACGAAATACTGGACGAAATAATGATGCCGTGAAACGAAGTGTGATCTTTGGTAGCTCCCAGAAATCTCGTGTATATAAATTAACGATGGAATTCGATTATGTGAGCGCATATACGTTTAAAGTAAAATATGGATGAGAGATTGATGGAAATGACGTTCGCATCGTTCGAAATACTTCGCGCTTACAATGTTAAATTATGTGAATAATACATTTTTCGTATTATTATTGTTGTTCTTTGCCATTTATGAAGCAGTATACAAATACATGTAAGTATTATATATATTTTATATTTATTTTTTAATACTTGATATTGAAATATTTATAATAAGAGAGACATTTTATTTATTCTAAAAAATAATTAATAAGTAATTTGTATTTCAAGTATATTTATCTTACAACTAATAAAAGTTTCTAATATCAAAAAAAAATGTATTTTGCGTCAAGCAGATTCGTTCAATATTGGTTGAACGACAACCGACTGTCAAAGTAGATTATTTCGGTACACGCATAGCCAAACTGTTTCACTCGTAACACTTATGAATTCTGCAATGGATCACGGTTCATCGCGTTACTTACATAAGACGACGACTCAATTAGGTCGTCGATCGATGATCTTCTTAGATCTAGACGATGGATAAGAATCGCTCTCGAATTGATTCAGTGAAAGTTGATTTTCTGTCGTAACAGATAAGTGGAAAAGAGATTTCGATTCACCGCGCATACCGCGCATACATAATAATTTGCTCATTTAAAATTGGAGTGTTGTTCTCGATATTGCAGAGTCTTTGCAATACATCAACGTTGAAAAGGATTATAACGAAACGTTCTATTAATTCCAATTAGCGTTAGATAAGATTACTGTGGAATCAATCTTTTGCTAATAGAGTTTTGAAATTCAAATATATTCTCAGTTGGATATTATGAATTAAATTTATCTTTCGTATTATCTTCTGAATTACATTTTCTTGATGAATTATATTTAAAATTCTTTGATAAGAAAAGTTGTTCGAAAAAAAATAATAATTGAAATTTGCTATTTCATTTCTTAATAATTAAAATAAATATGATAGATAGGTTAGGAAAATGGTGTCAAAATCTATAAGCTGATTCTTTATATATTCTTTTTTAAATTTTTTAGGATTCTTTCCTTTAATTATTTTAATTTATTGAAAAATACTATATATAATTTTTTAAAAGAAAAAGAATACAATAACTTCGTACATATATATTATTTCTTTCAAAAATATCAATATGTACTTCAATATACAAATGAATAAACAGATAAAAATTATTATAACAGTATTAAAATGAATATTTGAAATGAAAAATAAAAGATAACTATCTTTTTTATTTTTCTCTTAATAAATTCTTTATTTAATTTAGCATCTGATTAACATAAATTTTAAATGAATTTTATTGTCAGTAAATTTCGTTTTCTTATAGATTTCGATCGTTTCAAAGACACGACAGTCCATTTTTCAAGGCTGATTCCTGTTTCCTTGATCGATGACAGTTTACAATGCCGCATTTAATGATCTCGAGGACAGCTTTCACTTTGTTTCGCTATTTTCCCTTTGAAATTCCCGAGGATAAAACAGAGGCCACCATTTCCTGTTACAGTTTCTGTTGAAACGAGCCTCGTGTTCTCTGTATCCGCAAAGATCGAACAGAAGCCGGATTATCGCCTCGATCGCGATCGTTGCCTGTGACTGGAATCGCCGACTGTTCGAACAAAAGCATTGCAAACGGATAAATCTTTGTGGAAACACGATTCCAAGTACCTTTTGTTCCTCCCTCGTTCAGAAATTGTGCGTCGAAAATTATGTCGAAGTTGTTGAGATACGTTTACTTTTGATTTATATTGTGGTTAAGTAGTTTTAATAGTTGATCTTTTATTTGTTAAATGTGTGCTAAAAACATTTTAGTTTTTCCATTTCTTTTAATGTTCTTTATTATTATTTTAAGGTTATGTTCACCATTCTTGAAACAGAAATATACAGACAGAAATAATTTTCATAAATGATTATATTTTGTATATATGTCTAGTAATATTTATTATTTAATATTTGAATTGTTTATTTAATTTCAATAATTTATAAAATTTTAAAAGAAAAATTGTTTTTTTATTTTTATGCAAGTTAAATTAAGAAACGTTCATCCTAATAATAATGATTGCCTAATTTATTACAGAATTTAAAATTGATACGGTTTGGAAGCATAAATCCTGTTATTGTTAATAATACGTTACAAATGACGTGGAGATATTATAATTATCTGTGATGGAGATCGCGTGTCATAAAAATCTAGGAAGAAATGAAACTTAGCCCGGAATCTTAATTAAACCGTCACTGGTGTGAAAATAATTGGTGAATTTACTATTCCTTTGATGTCAGATAACAGATTTCTCCTAATTAAGCTTGACTTACGCCAACGATATTTGTCCATCGATTCTGTAAAACCTAGAATTAAAACTGATACTTTCAAAACGATACGAAACAAAGCATTTCATACAGTAAGTAATATTTCGTTTGATAAAAAAAATTGAAATCCGATCGACAAATTTTTATTCAATATTTACATTAATAAAATTTACATTAATAATAATTTATTTTCCAGATTCAAATAATTTTAAAAAAAATTTGAAAACTGAACGATAAAAATTGAAAAAAAAATTGTGTAAAGAAACTAATTAAATTTAATAATTCTCTTATTTGTTAATATTCAGCATTATATTCTTGAACAGAAACAAAATTCAAAAATTCTTACAAAATATATATGTTAGAAAAAAATGTTTTATAAAAATATATCACAGTACACTACATATTCAATATAATGTGAATTCACTATTGGATTCCAATCTATAAGTTGAGAAACGCTGATCTGTAACGCACAATTTTCTATAATATTGTATACCAAATGGAAAATATAGATCCTCTTATTATCTTTTCATATACTTCGAATTTTAATATTTAACAAAAATAACGAGTCAACTAATCACAGTGCATCATGTATTTTCCATTTATCAAATCAAATAATTCCAATCCCACTTGAAAAATGATTCAAATCCAAGTCAACGATCGATGCAGGAAAACAACTCAGGGGTCACCGTCCGTTCGTATCAAAAGGAGGATACTTCCAGGATCTTTTCTAGATAGGACAGGCGTGCACAGGCAGAGTATGTGTCGTGGCCGATAATTATCGACGAGGCTGATCGTGCGTGCGGCCGGAAAAATGGCGAGCAACGGGACAGGTCGGTCGGCGACTACTGCCTAGACCGCGGTCTGCTGTCGATGTCGAATGAAGATGTCCTGGCTACGTTCTCCCTTGCCTACGTACCAGCCGGAATAAGTGTGGGTAATTTGCTCGACTGGCTAGACCACTTGTTTTGCGGAGGGAACCGATGCCGTTTAAGAGACCGTGCCACCGAGCAAATCCTCGTTCACATATGTATTGCGTAATCCATGTGCAGGATTGTTGTGTTGGATGAAAATGGATTCGTGAGAGATGAATTTATGATTTTGGAAAATGGAATAATTCATTTTTGATATATTATATTATTATTTGATGATTTTTTTTATTTTGAATTTTATACTTGGTCTTTTTTAAGTTTAAATGACTTGAGGTAATAGTTTTTAATATATTCTTCTATTTTTTTAGTTTTTCTTGTGTAAATTTATGTAAAAATCATGGAATAAGAACGTAGAGAAAATTATGGACTTGTGATATTGAAATTTGATCTTGAAAGTTAAAATAAATATAATCATGTTTTGATTTTATGAAGAGATCTTGCTACATCATCAATTAATAGTACAAATTATATATAAAATAGTACAAATTGTTTTATGTATAAAAAGAAAGAATACAAGATCAATGAAAAATATTTGAGAAATAGACTATTAGTGAAATGTGTGAATTTTTAATAACAGAAGTTGTTATCGTGTCTTTAACTGATTAAAATTCTAGATTTTCGAGAATTTCAAGGTAGTCTAGTTTGTCTTGACACGCAAAAATGTGATTTTTAATCAAACATTTAAAACATTCGATAAGAGATATGACTCAAATGCGTTAAAAAAAAAATAGTTGAAGGCTGATTGCGTGAAACACGCAAAGTGAAAATAGGTGTCGAACACGAAATAAGAATAATAAAATATCTAATTGAAAGGTTTAGATTAGTCAGACACGATATCAAAGTTAATTGGCATGTAACTATTTCATGTTTAATATGTATAATTCAAACTTATTTATTTTTTGATTTTTAGTGATTCTCTTTTTTCTCATTTATTTTTTTCTATATTTGTTATAATGTAAAAAAAAATCCAAACTTTCATAGGATCATCTTAATATTGATTAAATATCACCATTTTTTATAACTAAAAATAATTTAGATTCCAATTTTCAAGTACTTGTTCAACTTTTAATTTTTGATCCTCTTTCTTCTTTATATTCAGAAAATGCAAGTGCTAACTGAACTATTCAAGATTAAATTTTAATACCTCATAAATTTTACAAATAGTTTGAATATCGATTTTCATTTACTTATTCAACTTTTATTGTACCTAACAATCTAGAGCGAAGAAATGAGAGAATGCAATATTCCTGTTCGACCTCTGACAACTCGTTCGGAACACTGAGAGGCCATACGTCAGGAAGACCGGTTAATGGACATCGAAGTAACAACCGGCAGGTTTATTCTGTGCTATGCGTTTAAGCAACAAGGGCCGGTGGCTAGAATTAATGAGGCACCAGTTTCCAGTAATGTTAGTCATGATAGGATCGGCGGATCAAAATGCAGATTTGTACAAGTGAACAGTCTGGCACCGGTTCGATCGCTGTACACGCGTTCCAGTGTCTAATGGTTTGGATGCTACTAAGTATCGCTAAGGTCAACTAGATGTATTCAGAGCTCGTGATTGACCGTTTGATAAATATTCTTCGATCTGAGCTATTGAATATAATATAATTTTATAATATGAATATTTAATAATTTTAGATTTTTCAAATTTTATTTCTTTATGAATGGAAATAATATTGTGAAGAATAATTAAAATCTATGTATATGATTGAGAAGATATTTTATAGATTCTAAGGAATTGCAAAGGAATTTATTTAATAATAATTATTTGTTACAAAATTTTGATCATTATAGAAAATTAGATAAACTTTGAATATTGAAAGAATTGTGAATTTTTTTCTTAAATTTTGAATGTTACTTATTCATTATTAATATTAAGAAAACAAATAGAGAGAATTAATAACTTTTGATTGAAACTCAATTTACATATAATATGAATAATCAATTATAGAAACAATACTAATTGTACAATGTACATAGTTTTATAGATATATTATGCATACTTAGTTATGAAAGTACATAGAAAATTATAGGATGCATTGTTATCATTCAAAGACTTATAATATATCTTATTCAAACTATGTTAGATATATGAAGTCTTTCAACATTTTCTAAGATTATCATGAACTTACGGTTTTAAATAATGATTCGAATGACTTGACATTTTTGTATTGAATATATGATGCTATTTCAATGAATTGAAATCTATTTCTGAATAGAGATATTTAATGATTAATTAATGAATGTCAGCTTGAATGTAATCTCTACTTACTATCACTTTATTATTCAAACTTTTTTCTTTTTTTATACACTATATTAAATATACTAAATTTAAATATCCTATTTTATCAATTTCTTACATTCACTTTAAACAACTTTCACATATTAATTTGATTTTAAACTAATATTTGTCATTTTATTACAAAATCTCTCTTTTAATTCATTTAAAGAACTTATTTTAAAATTTACTTTCAAAAAAATATTCAAAAACAATTTTAAGAGAAATAAATAAATTTGAGTTCAACATCTCAATGTTTAAATTATATTTTTCTTTGAAAACATTCAATTTATTGTATTCGATTTGATCAACAAGAAATATTAGAAACGTACTAAAATAACAAAGCAATCCTTAAAAATTCTTAAAATAACCCCTTGATCCACACCTTCTCGACCAAAGACCTACTCGTCACGCCAAGCTTACACAGCTGGCTATGTTTCATCAGGAAAGTTTTGTTCCTGAGTGCACAGTGCTGCCGTTGACCCATGAAATTACCCGTTGAAAATTTCCCGAACGCCGTTTTCCCCTGTGCGCGCAACTCACATTCCGACCACGCGTTTACATACGTGTGCACGTGTATAATGATAGATATCACCGCATCATCTATTGTAACGCGTGTAATGAGAATCGCAAATAGGCGTGCAATTTGATAAGCTTGTCAACCGCCGTTACGGTTCATGCGTCTGCAGAATTGAATAGGGACTACAGTTAGACCGAAGGGCGTTATGGACACAGACAGACAGATACAGGAAGGAAAGCCCACATAGTTAGGTTATGAGAACCTATATGTATTTGCATATATCAATTTTGAAAAGGTTATGTGGTAATGATTAATATCTTACAATTACTTTAAATAATTTTAATTGTGAATAATCGTTGTGAGAGACAGACAAAGATAGAAAAGGGAAGTTACACAGTTAAATTATGAACAGAAATCCTTTAGAGTTATATGTATTTATAGACAGATACAGGAAGGAGAATCTACATAGGTTATATTATGAGAATTTATATTTATTTGCATTTATCAATTTTGAAAAGATTATTATTTTACATTCTTTAGTTACTTTAAATAATTAAAATTGTGAATAATTGTTATAATAGAAAAAAAACATATAAAGGATAGATTACATAGTATGAAAAGTTGCATGGTAATATTTTATAATTAATTGAAATAATTTAATTATAGTTGTATGACAATTATAAGACAAAGACATATAAAACAATTATAGATATATATATATATAAGATATATATTATAATAATATAATAATATAGTATAATAAAATGGTGATTTCAAACATTAAAAGAATTTATTAACTTGTTATATGCTATTCTCATCATTTTTTAGAATAAATAGATAATAAATATTTTATAATGTACGTGTCAAAGAATATTTTTCGTACCATTTATTAAAAAAAAAACTTAAAAATTTGTTTATATTTAAAATCAGAAAAGAATATCTTTCCAAAAGAACATTTGATATTGTTGCACAATGGTTTAAGTTTACTGAGCCTTTTTTATCTGAAATACTCTGGACGAATTTGCATGATTTTTTATACTTGTCAATCACCTCGATGCATAAGAAATCACAGCATAACAAACTTATGATCCAACCTTGAAAATTTTCCTCTACGAGACAGCAATAATTTCCAAGCGAAGCTTTTCAGGATCTTCGTTAAACGTTCTGAAGTGGCGTTCCCGTTAGAGGAATCCAGCTGGCTATGAGGAAGCAATGTCCTTTGTCTTGTCAGACGCGTTTCCCCGTTCAAAGCTTCGGACTTCTCGCGTCCTGGGGAATTCATAGGTTTGTTATGCGCGCGATTCCCTCTACCGATGCAATCTCGCCGCGTTTTATGTTCTTGTGCCTGCCACTAGGGGGAAAAACGAATCGCGCGAAACGTGGCCTGAACCGATGGCGATCAAGTAAAAACGTGGAAACGTGGAAACGTGTACCAGGCTGCCGTACCTATTTTCCTGTTCTTTTTTTCGCGATTCGTTTTCCAGCGGTTTT